ACTCAGAATTTATACATCTTAGAACTCAAAGTTTGTACCCTTTGACCAACATCTCCACATTTTCCGTGATAATTAATTTATTTTCTTTTTAAAATTTTCAGAGGACACATGTGCTTGCCAGAGAGACAAAGAAAGAGAGAGAGAGAGAGAGAGAGGAAGAAAGCACCTTCAATGGGGCATTGTAACGTCACGATCCCTTCTCCTCTATATCTCCATCCTGCTGGGATTTGGAGCATGCATACACTTGCACCTTACATGTTTTTCAAACCACCAAAGCCAGGATTTGAACCATGATCAGCCTTGTGAGACCTGGCTTCCAATGCATAGTGCTTAACCAACTAAGCTACAAGGCTAGCCTAATCTTTTTTTCTCAAACTTTGACAATCAGGCAGGTAGAAATCCTTGCTTTCTATAAAACTCTTTTTTTTTTTTTGAGAGAGAGGTTTTTTGCTATAGGGCGTGTGCGCTCACCAGACAGAGAGAGACAGAGAGACAGAAAGTGAGAAATCACCCCCCAGGGGGGATGGCCACGCTGCAATCCCTTCTCCTCCATTCTCCTCTCAGGATCTTGGGCACGCACACACACGTGCCCGGCGTGAAAGTCACCGGGTCCGGGACATGAACCACAGTCAACTACGTGGGAGTCCAGCGACATAGCCATTATGCTAACTGCTGGTCCCTTTATACAACTCTTTTAACACAGGTATAGGCATGCCTAAACTCTAGTTTTGTTAAGTTTGGACCTATATAAAAAGAGACTCAAATATCAAGTCCTCTTTTATATCTAGCCTCCTTCCCATTGTCTCGGTGAGTGCCTTAGTTTATTCTTTCTCATAGCTGGGTAAGGTTTTGTGGGGTCAGTATAGCACCATTTACGTAGGCATTTCCTGTTGATGTATAATTGGGTTACTACATGAACATTTCTTTATCTATGCCAGGTTTATATACATGGACAAGAATAATAATCATAGATAGCTTATGATGATAAAAAAGTAAACCAAACAATAACCAACCATCCAAAAGAAGTATAACTGAATAAACCACAACCATAATAAATAACAACATATTAAAAACAGCTCAGGTATAGAAAAGAAAAACAGGAGAAAAAATAGAGAGGGATGACATTCGTGGGACAAAGAAATGGTTTACTACCTGTTGATAACGTGTATAGTATTCTCAACTGGACTGGTCTGAGAAGCATTTCATATTAGGTAAATTCTTTCTTTCTTTCTTTCTTTTTTTTTTTTTTT